AAGAAATACGACGAAGACAAGACCGTTCAGGACCACATCAATGACCATGCAGACGAAGCCGAAGAGGAGATGCTAATGGGTGAAATAAAGGACGATCAAGGCGAAGCCGATCAAGGCGAAGCCGATCAAGGCGAAGCCGAGGCCGATGTTGATGTTAAAGAAGGCGAAGTGAAAGAGGAAGAGCCGGACGTCAAGGTAGAAGGTGGTAACAGGGAGGAAAAAGAGGAGAAAGAAAACGAAAGAGAAGAAGGCGAGCTAGCGGAAGGTGGTTCAGTGCCTGAGGATGAAGTACATGAGGTGCCTGAGGTTAAGGTGCCTGAAGTCAAACTACCCGACGTCGAAAGAGTAAGAGAGGAAGGCGAGGTAGACGAGGATGAACCAGAAGATGGCGAGACAAAGGATGACGATCATCAACTACATGAGGTACAAGTTGCTGAGGTTAATGCACCTGAGATCGACGTGACAGAGGTAAACGTACCCGAGGCCGAGGTACCAGAAACCGAAGTACAAGAGGTCCAGGCACTGGAAGCAGAAGTGCCAGAAGCTAAGGTGCCACTGGTAGAAGACAGAGGTGCGGAGTCACTGCACGTTGAGCATGTGCCCAGTCCCGCCGTATCGGTTGAAACCGATTTGGAGGAGGCGAAGGAGTTCCGCTCTCAGAAGGAAGTCGCTGAGACTAGCCTCGGCAGTGCAGATGACAGGGAAGAGGAAATGCAGGAGACAAATGGTCAAGAGCCCACCATCAAGGGGCCCAGCTCCAACCCCATGGCTGGTGTGACCTTCGTTGCTCGCTCACCGCGCAAACAAAAGTATGAAGAGTTGGGAGTTCCCTACGAGACGGGAACTCGTACTCTCACGCATGACCGTCCTGACGAGGAAGAAGTTAAGGAGACGGTCGCGGAGGCCAAGGTCCACCGGAAGAAATGCAAATATCAACCGGCAGATGACATCAGAATATCGAAGGCGAGAGCTCAAGATGTGCAGTTCATATGGAGGGGTGGTCCGAAGGGACGTAGAATTGTGCACCAAGATGAGCTATTGCCGGAGACCCAGGCTTCGTTGGAGATTGCCAAAACAGCTTCATGAACTCTTGACTGCTCCGAAGCAGGCCAAGAAGTTGCTGGAGCGGTTTGATGATCCTGACAAGCTGGAAGAAAAAGAAGCAAATTCATGTAGCCAAAATCGTACTGGACCCAAGACGTCGAGTATCGACGC